CAGGCCAGAGCTGCATCTATCTCTAGGGCCCCATGGGGGCATCTAGTGGCCGTTGGCTATACTGCACCTACCTACAAGCGTAGCAGGGAAGCCGGGGTCTCAGGTGAGCTGTAAAGAATCTCTTGTGGGCTCTGCAGGGTCTCAGCCTGAGACCCTGCAGAGCCCACCTGAGACCCTACAGAGCCCACCTGAGACCCTGCAGAGCCCACCACAGACCCCAACGCAGAGCCCACCAGAGATCCTACAGAGCCCACCTGAGACCCTGCAGAGCCCACCATAGATCCTGCGCAGCCAACCTGAGACCCTGCATAGCCTATCTACGACCTTGTAGAGCCCACCTGGGACCCCAAACAGCCCACAATAGACACCACATAGCCCACCTGAGACCTTGTAAAGCCACTTTAGACCCCGCATAGCCCTCCGGAGACCTTACAGAGCCCATCTGAGATCCCCTATATCCCACCACAGACCCTTCATAGCCCACCATAGACCCCGCATAGCCCACCTGAGACCTTGCAGAGCCCACCACAGACCCCACATTGTCCACCACAAAGCCCGCATAGCCTACCACAGACCCCGCATAGCCCACCACAGACCCCGCATAGCCCACCGCAGACCCCACATAGCCCCCCATAGACCCCGGCAAAATGCCGCCCAAGGCAAACGCCTTGTTTGCCTTCCAGTGGATTTTCCCCCTGCTTATATCTATAAGCACCTAAAGTTCCCACTTCCTATAGCTATATCTCCTGTCTCCTGGCTCTCTCTCCTGGCTGTCTCTCCTCACTCTCTCTCCCCTGGCTGTCTCTCCTCTCTTTCTCCTGGCTGTCTCTCCACGCTTCCTCTCTCCTGGCTGTCTCTCCTCACTCTCTCTCCCCTGGCTGTCTCTCCTCACTCTCTCTCCCCTGGCTGTCTCTCCTCTCTTTCTCCTGGCTGTCTCTCCATGCTTTCTCTCTCCTGGCTGTCTCTCCTCTCTTTCTCCTGGCTGTCTCTCCACGCTTCCTCTCTCCTGGCTGTCTCTCCTCACTCTCTCTCCCCTGGCTGTCTCTCCTCTCTTTCTCCTGGCTGTCTCTCCATGCTTTCTCTCTCCTGGCTGTCTCTCCACGCTTTCTCCTGTGTTTGAGTTTCACGTGAGGAATAGGTGGCAAACCTACTCTACCCAGGAGTTAGGGTGGGAGCCACTGCAGCCAGAGATGGTGCATGTGTGCATCAAGTTGTGTATGAGTACTGTCTGGAGGAGCAATAGACAAGGGCCTGAAGTGTGAGGCTGTAGCAGCGAAGCTACAAGTGGAAGCTAGGAGGCTTAGCAATAGTTGTGAGTAGATGCATAAAAAACTCCTATCAATTGAAGCTAGATTTCACTGTAGCATTTAGAAATGTTAACTTTGCCAAAGTGGTACTTGACCTTTTGTCTGAAATCGCTTCTTCAAAACAGCAAAACGCTTCCTGGTAGGTGATGGTTCCTACGTACTCCATTGGCTACAGACACATTGCTGTACATCTGCAGTGTGAGATCTAAGAGACTGCTGACTCTGACTTCTAGTCTCAGGAGATTTGGAGATAGACCCGGTGATGTCACCACTGTGCTGCTCACTCTTTTCCTTGCTGGAGGCTCTAAAATGTAGAAGCAAAGCCCTGCCTCTACCAAGATGGCCGCTTCCACACAGAGACACAGTGCAGAACAAGGCATGGTAAGTCAGTAATGGGGTAAAGATTAGCTGCAGGGAGACCCCAGGCAATATTGGTGATTAGTCCTTTGCCCTCTACCAGCCCTTTCAGTTGATAATGCTCTTCTTCCCAAATTCACACTCTCTCTTGGGAACTTGAGGGTGCCACCCAATGTTTGGGTCCCCTTATCTTCCTTTACAGAAGTTCTGACATACTTGATGTGTCTAGCTGTAAAGATGTTCTATATTAATAAAGATTTTGTGAATATATAAGTGCAGTGGTGGCCAAAGAGGCCCCTGTGGAAGATCATTTTTGCCCCCCCCCCCCATTCAACTACAGATATATAATGTATGTGGATTGACAGCTAGATAGAAGTTAGCAGTATAAGGCTATATGACAGTGGGGGGAACCCAACACCCATTTCACCCACACCTAATAAAAATATGTCCTAGTGGGCCCTTGCTACATAAGCTACATAATTGGTATATCTAACACTGCGGGAGACGCTCATCTGTGCCATGTCAGGATGTTCCGCGTTCATGATTGAATGATCTAGGACATTTCTGTAATTCGCTTCCCTTAAGAGCACAGGCAGCGGCTACAAGTTATTACAGCTTTCTTTCATTCCTAGATACTAATAGCAAAGTGATTGGTAGTAGACATGTGCGATTTTTTTCGGTCCGAAACGAAATTCAGACGGAAATTCGGACATTCGGATGTATCCAAATTCCGAATTACAGCTATGACGAATGCAAACGAATCCGAATTTCCGTTTCGTTAGCGGTAGTCTGGACGAAATTTCATTTGTTGGACGTTTGTTTTTTTCCCTTGAATGTCACTTTGCTGCAACGAACGAAAACGAATGTTCCTACAGACTAACGCTAACGAATTTCGTCTGAATACGAATTCCAAAACTAATTGCTTTTCTGACCCGAATCCCGGAAAACGAAATAACGCAAAATCCGAATCAAAACGAAAATAAACAAATTTTTTGCTGGTGCACATGTCTAATTGGTAGTAATGAATCCGTAATTTGTTGTCTGTACAAACAAGGGAAGAAGGATGGTGACTGACGTACAAATAATTGTGATTATTACAAATTTGACGCAAAACACTAGATACATATTCCAAACTAAGGCCTCATTCACACTGCGTACGTGCGTATTGTACCATATGCAACATATGCAAATAAATGGCTCCATACACACAGCCGCGTATAGAGCCGTATATTTGCGTAGCGTATATATGCGCAAAAACAGAATGGAACAGAGATGCGTCCGGGCAGCGTATTTCTGCGTATTTACGCGTGTATACATGCATACAGCACGTTAAAAATTCCATTACGAGTGATGCATTCTGGGATTGCATATAGTGCACGCATATACGCTCGTATATACGCGCCTAGACGCGTATATACGCAATATACAATTTTGCTTGCATTGTGTGTGAATGAGGCCTAATAGAGACAAATAGTGGCTGCATTCACATGGATGGTGGATGCACATCTGTGCATTGTGGTACACTACAATGCAAGCGAGTCACTGACGCACGGCAACTACGTTTAATTACTTTCAATGCATTAAGGTAATGCACAGTATATCCTGTCCTATACCATGCTATTAAAGGATAAAATTCTAAATATTAAAAACCACTTACGAAGCCATCCACAACTCTGCCCCCGGCTATATCTCCAACTTCGTCTCAAAGTATCACCCTAACCACCCTCTCTGCTCCTCCCAAGACCTCCTGCTCTCTAGCTCCCTCGTCAACTCCTCCCATGCTCACCTCCAGGATTTCTCTGGAGTCCCTCCCATCCTCTGGAACTCCCTAACCCAACCTCTCTCCTACTCTGTCTCTCTTTAGGCAATCTCTAAAGACTCATCTCTTCAGGGAAGCCTATCCTGCTTCAAACTAACCACTGAACCATCACATTCTCAAACAATTCATTCCCACACAGCTACCACCATTTGTATCTCTTGCCAGTGGCGTCAAAAGAGGGGTGCGGGGCTAACGCAGTTGCCCGCACTCGGGTGACACCATTGGAGGGGTGACACCAAAATGACTGACAGTCATTTTGGTGTCACCCCCTCTGAAAAGTCGGGCACTCGGTCATGGACAGAGAGCCTGACAGTTGCAGGAAAGAGGAGGGGACCCGTCAGCATACCTTATCCCGCCGGGTAAACGTCCCCTCCATTTTCTGCAGGCATCCATCACCAAGATGGCCACCGGCAGTTATCACCAAGATGGCTGCGCATGTGCGATGACGTCATCGCGCACACATGTGGTGACGTCACATGCATGCGCAATGACAACACGACGAGGTGCCAACCGGTATCCGCTCCAGGTGCCAACCGTTATCCGCCTTGGGACGCCCCTGTCACTTGCCTCTCCCTTTTAGATAGTAAGCCCTCAGGGACAGGGCCCTCCTTACCATCTTGTCTTGATTTGCATTGTGATTGTAATGTCTTCCCTATATTGTTAAGCGCTGCGCAAACTGTTGGCGCTATATAAATCCTGTATAATAATAATAATAATAATAATATATCCCACTAGAGTGAACCAGCCGTGTACATCTCATGACAGATTTTCTTTTAGAACACAGTAAACTATTTTGCCATCTACGTATTTATTTATATACACTATAGATATACGATAGATATATAGCAGGGACACGAGGGACGGTTGATAGCTAAGCTATGTCATCCTTCTTCGCATACAGCTATTGGCTTTGCCCTAACGAGTAATTGATTGACATGTGCTTCGGACAGAAGGTAATACTCCAAGGAATGCACACTGCTTAAGAAAGGTGACAAATCAATGAATTATTTAAAATTCAGTTGCTATGGATCTAGGTTATCTGTTTATACTCGGAGGAGCCGCAGATGGGTCTTGGTTTTGGGTTGCCTCAGTGCTCTGCGTCTTGCCGGTCGTTAAGGAATTAAGTTAATCAAAAGCCATGTGTTACATACCGCCGGACCCTCCCGAAGATTAATAAGTACAAAAGGGACTCGAATTCTCTCACTGCGTCTCAGAGTTCACTAGGAAGCAGCCAGGGAGGGCGACTGACATGAGCTGAGCGTGCAAAGAAGAACTCCTGTTTGGCTCTCAAGGAGCTACATTTGTACAGATGTGGCCTTATCGGATCGGTGCACAGAATCCGGACTCGTGTTCACCGGGAAAGCCATTTTTTACTCATAAAGGGTCTTCTGTCTTTTTTTTCCCGACCGGTAACATCTCCATTGCAAGATGGAAACACTTCCTTAACTGGGCGACCGGTGGTGGAAAAACTGGAGCACTTTTCTCCTGAGCATGGTGAGGGCATCCTTTGGGCATTCCCATTGCGTGTTGGAAGGCTGAGCGTGTTTTTTCCGAGATGTATCGCCGCCGAGGAGTGGAGGAGGTCTTGGAGAAGGACCAGGGCAAGTGGGCACTTCTGCGTAACGTTAACCAGGTGGTGAAACCCAGCACCCTACTACCGGTGAGCGATATTCTTTGATAGGGTTACCCTGGTGATGGCGGTTATTGGGTGATGTTCTGGGGCAGGAGCTTTATAAGGTTAAAGCAATTTCCCACTTTCGGCAGTCATTGGCCTTGTCAAGGTTAAGAACGGTCGCCACCATTAACGAGATATCTGTTCTGGGTGGATTGGCACTGATGGGAGGGTTAGGGCACCTGTTTGGTTTTGTTGTTGGTGTCTTTGTCCCATTTCCATTCACTTCCTGTACCAGAGAAACAACAGGAAATGAGAGGATATTTCTCAATCCCTTGGGGGACATCTTGGAGAAAGACCAGGGCAAGTGGGTACTTTTGTGTAACGTTAACCAGGTGGTGAAACCCAGCACCTTACTACCAGTGAACGTTATTCTTTGATATGGTTACCCTGGTGATGGAGGTTCTTGTGTTCCTGGGTGATGTTCTGAGGCAGAAGCTTTATAAGGTTAAAGCAATTTCCCACCTTTGGCAGTCATTCGCCTTGCAAAGGTTAAGAAGGGTTGTCACCGTTAACAAGATATCAGTTTGCGGTGGATTGACACTGACAGGGGAGGGTTAGAGCACCTGTCTGGTTTTGCCTTTGATGTCTTTGTCCTATTTTTCTTCACTTCCTGTCCTGGAGGAACAAGAGGAGGTGAGAGGATGTTTCTCAATCCCTTCGCCAAACAGATTTACCGTCACTTGAAAAAGTTGGAATACCAATTGTTTTTTGTCCCAATAAGAAGGGTTGCCACCATTAACGAGATATCAGTTGGGTGGTTTGACACTGACAGGAGAGGGCTAGAACGCCTGCCTGGATTTGTTTTTGGTGTCTTTGTCTATTTCCCTTTACTTCCTGTCCCAGAGAAACAACAGGAAGTGAGAGGATATTTCTCAATCCTTTCACCAAACGGATTTACCATCACTTTTTGTTCAACTGACCATGACCACCAGGACAAATAGAGAGGTGGGATCTCCCCAGGGAAACGGGGGGGGGAGGGGGGGCACAAATTCAAAACCTTCCAATGGGGACAATTTTTCTTTTGACAGACCAATTGTACAAATTTCCTCCTACTTCCTGTTGCATCACCTGGCCAGGAAGTGAAGGGGTATCTCTCCAATGGGATCCCAGAAAGCAAACAAAACCTGACAGGGATTTTAACTAGGGATGCATCAATACCGATACTAGTATCGGTATTGGTGCCGATACCGAGTATTTGGGTGAGTACTTGTACTCGCCCAAATGCTCCAGACGCCTATTCCGATACCAGAACTTCTGGTATCAGGAAGCCCAGGCGGCGCGTCATTACACACTCCACGGCTTCCTGATTGGCCGGGAAGCCGACTCTGTGCTCCCTGATCACTGGGGAGCACAGAGCTGGCTTTACGGCCAATCAGGAAGCCGGGGGCGGGTAATGACTAGCCCCTCGGCTTCCTGATTGGCCGGGGAGCTGGCTCCATGCTCCCTCATCACCTGGTGACGAGGGAGCATGGAAACGGCTTCCCGGCTAATCAGGAAGCCGGGCGGTGAGTAATTACACACCGCACGGGTTCCTTAATGGGATTTCCAGTATCGGTATTCGTATTGGGGAGTACCTACAAAGAGATATCGGTACTCATACTCGATAACAAAAGACCAGTATCGGTGCATCCCTAGTTATAACCATACCCCACAATATTACAAACTAAAAAAAATGGTGGCCTTCGCTGTATCAGGGAATGTGATTAGCATTCCGGCATAATTATTGTTCAGTTAACTTGATAGAGGGTCTGCTGTCATTAAGATCACATTGTATAGGATTGTATAGGTAGCCCCCAACAACTGTATAGGATGGGCCTGTAAAAGATCTATAGGCTACTTTTTAAAATTATCTTCAAAGCTGAAGTTTTATATATTTTATAGTTTGGTTTGGTTCCTCTTGATAACAGGATGTGACGCTAAGCCTCCATGATTGAAAGATCTGATATCCAATGAATGGAAGGGGCGGGCCAGGGGCATTCAGGCTGGGGAGTAATGCGCTAGATGGTGCTGGATGCTCTCCAGCCAGGAAATGAGGCAGGCTCTATCTTAGTAGTTCGGTTTTAAAAAAAATAAGAACATTATATTACATTTTTACCAGTGAAAATAGCTGCCAGTAGAGAAATTAGAACTACTGCCTGTGTCCAACTGGGGACATTGTCCCTCACTTCCTGTCCTCGTCATACAGGGATAAGAATGGTTAGAATGGGAAGATGTGGTAGCAGTGGGTAAACGTACACCCAAACCTGCACATCCTTGCGGGCCTGGGTGCCTGCAGACTGTGTCCAAGTGCGGGCATCCGGACCTGCACAAATGTGCAGATTCGGGTCTGTGTGTAGCCGCGTACAGCCATGTACTCCCGTAGGGATGTACAGGTGGCTGCATGCAAACACACTCAGCACCTGTCCCTCCCGGGGACAAGGTCTCTGCACACACGCCCTTAATTGCCGGTGTATCGGATATGTCCTTAGCAGTAGAGGTTAGAACCCCTGTATAGTTTTTGTACCCCTGTATTACTTTTTGTCTCCTCTCTAGGGAGAGTCGCTCTCCAACTACTGTCACTGGGTCTGAAAAGTGATTGCAAATCTAAAATTTTGAGCTGTAACCAGAACAGAAATACACTGTAAATCGTCCAATGGGGACATACATTCTGGCGACAGCTTAATTTTTCTCTGGAGAGATTTTTTCACTTCCTGTTGAGTTTATAACACAGGAAGTGAGGGTAAATCTCCTCAATGGGACACAGATTTCACAACACCTGACAGAGATTTTAAGCATTCCCTACTCTGTCCAAAATTTAAAAAAATATTAAACTTGGAGTAAGATGCCCCAGTCTTTACTGAGCAATGTTAATGCTAATGATATTTATTTTCTACAGGGCGATTATGTCTGGCTGGACTTTAAGACAGGCCGGGAGTTTGATGTACCAGTTGGAGCCGTGGTTAAGCTGTGTGACTCTGGGCAGATCCAGGTCCTGGATGATGAAGGAAAGGTAAGTATTTAGATTTGTTTTTCCAAACTATATCTTCTGCAGTTCCTCTCTCTCTGGATGGTGATCATTTGATATAAAAGAGGACTAATGGAGCTCATGGAGGGGGAAAATTAGATACATGGACCATGGTTGGGTCTAAGGTTAACTGGTTGGTGCTTAGATATTCTTTCTGTGAAAATAAGCTTAGTTTGCTCTAGACAGTTTTATGATGAATCCCCCTATAGTGCTCTACCAGACCTTGGGTGGAGAAAGTTCTGTTCTGCTTTACTAAACCTTGTGTGGAGAAGGTTCTGTCCTGCTCTACCAGACATTGGGTGGAGACGGTTCTGTCCTGCTCTACTAGACCTTGGGTGGAAAAGGTTCTTTCCTGCTCTACCAGACCATAGGAGGAGAAGGTTCTGTTCTGCTCTAATCAAACGTTGGGAGGAGAAGGTTCTGTCCTACCAGACCTTGGGTGGAGAAGGTTCTCTCCTGCTCTACCAGACCTTGGGTGCAGAAGGTTCTTTGCTGCTCTTCCAGACCTTGGGTGGAGAAGGTTCTGTCCTGCTCTACCAGACCTTGGGTGGAGAAGGTTCTGTCCTGCTCTACCAAACCTTAGGTGGAGAAGGTTCTTAGAAAGTTCTGTTCTGCTTTACTAAACCTTGTGTGGAGAAGGTTCTGTCCTGCTCTACCAGACATTGGGTGGAGACGGTTCTGTCCTGCTCTACTAGACCTTGGGTGGAAAAGGTTCTTTCCTGCTCTACCAGACCATAGGAGGAGAAGGTTCTGTTCTGCTCTAATCAAACGTTGGGAGGAGAAGGTTCTGTCCTACCAGACCTTGGGTGGAGAAGGTTCTCTCCTGCTCTACCAGACCTTGGGTGCAGAAGGTTCTTTGCTGCTCTTCCAGACCTTGGGTGGAGAAGGTTCTGTCCTGCTCTACCAGACCTTGGGTGGAGGAGGTTCTGTCCTGCTCTACCAGACCTTGGGTGGAGGAGGTTCTGTCCTGCTCTACCAGACCTTGGGTGGAAAAGGTTCTGTCCTGTTCTACCAGACCTTGGGTGGAGAAGGTTCTTTCCTGCTCTACCAGACCTTGGGTGGAGAAGGTTCTGTCCTGCTCTACCAAACCTTAGGTGGAGAAGGTTCTGTCCTGCTCTACCAGACCTTGGGTAGAGAAGGTTCTGTCCTGCTCTACCAGGCCTTGGGTGGAGAAGGTTCTTTCTTGCTCTACCAGACCTTGGGTGGAGAAGGTTCTTTGCTGCTCTACCAGACCTTGGGTGGAGCAGGTTCTGTCCTAAGCTACCAGACCTTGGGTGGAGGAGGTTCTGTCCTGCTATACCAGACCTTGGGTAGAGAAGGTTCTGTCCTGCCTATGATTATAAATCTATATACAGTATTTAGCTGTGGCACGCACTCAGTTGTCCTTTGTGGAAATAACTGTGAATGGCATTTTTATTGGTTAACTGCATTGGGTGTAAACTATTGATACTGCTGGGTCAAAAGAGACATGGGTGCAAAGTCAATAGATCTGTTTCTCGGGCCCTGGCCAATTTGGCATTTTAAGATATTTACTTGGTTGTTTCCTTCTACAGGAGCATTGGATCTCCCCCCAGAATGCATCGCACATTAAGCCCATGCACCCAACCTCCATCCATGGAGTGGAAGACATGATCCGTCTGGGGGATCTTAATGAGGCTGGGATCCTTCGTAACCTTCTCATTAGATACCGGGAACACCTCATCTATGTGAGTATAAAGGGTATATTGGCATATAAAGTGTGCCTGACTGCTTTGACAGATGCCCATTACTTATAAAGATTGTTAGTCTGGGTTGCTATACTTCCATAATTCACAGGGACACAACTGCTGAGCCAGTGAATCTTTGGAAAACATTTCCCACAATTCACTGCATTATGGCCTCCTAAAATGGTTTATAAGATACTTTTTACATTTAAAAGATTAACAGGTAAGTGATAGAACCTCTGTCAGCTTGTTGTCACTGTCTATGACCCCACTAGGGATATTTATGACTACTTCTTATTTCAGTAGCAGGTAGCCTAACAGAAGTTCTAACCATTCCTCAAGCTATAGCTTCACCAAGATATGGGGTTTACATTCACAAGACCGCTCTCTGTTCTCCTTCGGGCCAAAAACAACTTTATTGTTCAATTTCCAGCATTTGTATTGACACCCCAATCCACTCCTTCCACTGACGCATTTTGTCCCCTATTGGAGCTTAATCATTTGCTTAACAGGAAGCTCCTGGGATGAAACGCATCGGTGGAAGGAGTGGATTCAAGTGTCATTGTTAGTGCTGGAGCATAGCCTGAAGAAGAAGAACAGAGTACAGCCTGGATAGAGGGGTTGGAGGGCCTTGAGCGGTATACAGGCTCTAAGTGAACTAGATATGGGATTTATTCAACTTTATGGAGAATGCAACAAATGTGGGAACATTTCCACTGTAGCAAAAAAAAAGTGAGACTCGGGATGCAAGAAGTGACAAAGCCAAAGTCATTTTTTATTTAACTTTCTTGATGATCCATATAATCATAATTATTTATAAATTGGCAGCCAACCCAAAAGTTGTTATTTTCAGCCATCTCCGTGGACTATAGAATAGCCCCACCCATGTTATAAAGGAGAGGAAAGAGAGAGGTGTTCTGTAGTACGGATGAGGTTTGAATTCACCGCTACCTTGAGTTGATGGAGAATCCTGCAGGTTGGAGATTCACAGTCCCTGTGGTTGTTTTTTTTTTAACCATAATGGGCTGCATGGCCTTTGTACTATGGCCAGCAGACTTCGAAGGGCCAATACGTTTTTGGATAAGCCACTCCTCTCACTAAAAAGCAGGGGGGCTATAGCCAGAAGCTTGTTTACATGCCCGTGCTGTCACTGCTGTAACATTTTACAGTGGTAGCAGTAAAAGGGTTAAGGCATCCCCTAAAGGCTTTAATTAATAAAATATATGTACATGTTGCCTCTAAATCCGTATCCAGAATAAGTACACTCTGTCCACTGTATGGTATTTTATAAAATTATTTTTTTGCATCGGTACCTTTCCCCTGTGGCGGTGGCCAGCTACCCGTACCCTTTTTTAATAATAGCTTGTCTATTGGTCCGAAAAATGGCCGGAATTTCCAAACAGTAATCACAGCCCATAGACTTTAATGGTAAATGCTGCTAAAAATCCAAAAAGGATTCGTTAAACCCGCAGCCAAATAAACCCGGGCAAATTGGGTCATCCTGTACGCTGTAGTCCTGTCTTAGAATGACAATGCTGATCCCCCATAGACCCAGTTTGGTTAATGAGCATTGTCAGCTTAAGACAGGAAGTGTGTTACTGGCTGAAAGCCTGAAAAAAGACCAATGCAGCCATACTATGACATGGCTGGTAAACTGCAATATTCCATATTTGTTTTTTGGTTTAGATACCCTTTAAGGGGCTCATGTGTAAATCTTCCACCCAGCGTAAAGCTGGGTAAAAGGTAAAAGCCGTTTGCACGGTGTTACTGCCTCTGGATGGCGCCAAGGGGCATAGTCATTTCCTCTGCGCCATCTAGTGGCAATAATGGGTATGGCTTCCACCAAGCTTTATGCTGGCTGGATGGTTTATTCATGAACCCCTAAGTGTTCCCCCTTCCCTCCATAAGCACGAGCATGGCGCTTCCACCATCTCCAGATAGATTATCTTGGTGGCTGGATTGGACCGAATCCTTCATGTCTGTAGATAATTTTAATGTTAATTTTGTAACATGCGATAGAAAAAGAGAAGCTGATTGGTTGGTCCAGCAAATGCCGCCATGTTTTCTGTGGATTAGTTGCTCTCTGGACATTTTCAGGTTTTTCCCGGGGTGGCCGTCACGCGGCTATTAGTGAGATGATTACGATAGATAAACCGGCCGATTGTTGTTCTCGCGTCCCAGCTGTAATACATTGTCCAGCCCAGAAAAACCTACATTAAGATTTAATGGAGCGGGTAAGGTGCGCTCCGGCTGTCATTGTTTGAGTAGAAGTCAGCGTAATATTGCTCTGAATTATTCACCGCGAGGAAGAGAGTTGAATTTCAGCAGAGACCTGTGACCTCATAGTACTCCGGAGATACACGAGCCCTGGGGGATATAGACACAGGATCACTTACCATTATTAAAGGGGAACTATGATCACAGAGTACATAGGGGGTTATTCTCTAAAGAGCTGAAGGATCCAGCCGTAGCTTCGGCTGATCTTTCAGCTCTCTTCGGCCGCCTCTGCTCTTCAGTTCAGTTGAACCGAAGTGCTGCTGTACGGGCTATTCACAATAGCCCGTGCAGCAGCCGAGCCGAACCAATATGCTTCGACTGAGCCGAAGTGACACCCGAAGCGTGGAGAACGGTCGGCCGAAGCCGACCAATCTCCACGCAAATGACCGCTGGGCGGAGTCAGCAGTGATCTTATGGCTCGCTCCGCCCAGTTGTAATGACAGATAAGCGTCCCCAAAGCAGGTGCCGGCCAATAGGAAACAGTTGGGCGGAGCTAGCTGTCACCGCTAGCTCCGCCCCATTGTTCTGTCAGATGCTTCTTTATGCGGCTGGAGTCCATCGCATGCGGTCGGGTCAATGTGCTGTGTTTTTTTTCATTTTTCTTTCTTTTCTTTAAAATATTTTTATTTATTTTTTAATTTTCCTATTTTTTTTACATTTTAAAATATTTTTCAACTTTTTTTGTCTTTTCACTTATTTTCTATTTTGCTCGGTACCACGGAGGTACCGAACAGAATAGCCAAGGCTAATGCGCCTAATAATAATAAAATAATTATGAATAATATATTATTATTAACTAAAACACATTATACTAAAAGTAATAAAAATTATAATAAACTTAAAAAACAAACAAACCCTGTATTACAGGTCAGGGGCTCCACGTATTGAAGCCAAAGGGTCAGCATGACAGCCATCCCATTAGCACTTGTCAGCAATGGCAGCCTCCATATTTCTTCCATGAAGACATTCCTCTAAGGCCTGTGTCAGACTTGTATTGATGGCATCAGTTTGAGATGCTTCCAAGATCATTCAGAATTCATTGACGGGTGCATTGGGCCTGCATTGGACCTTCTTCTGACGTGCTTCAAGGGGGTTTTGTACTCCGATTGACTTGGATGGTAATGGAAAACCTGCTTGAAGTGACCAGAAGCCAGTTGATAGCGGCCAATAAAGTGTATCTAAAGCCAGAACCTTTTTTGTTTTAGATTTGGATAGAGTGTGGAAGGATTAGATCCCCTGTTGGGCTTTATTGCTTCCCCACGGAGATTCACCCTCTCTGGAGAAAAGTGACAGGAAAGGGACAAGTTGGGGACACCTGTACCAGTGACAACTGTCAAAAAAAGAAATTACTTCTTACAGGTGAAACTCGAATAATTAGAATATCGTGCAAAAGTAATTGCAGTAAGTGCTGCAAAAGGGGCCCAAACCAAGTACTGAGTACATTTGCATGCTTGTACTTTTCAGAGGTCTGATATTGTTCTATGTACAATCCTTGTTTTATTGATTGCATGTAATAATCTACTTTTTTGAGGTTGTGGATTTGGGGTTCTTGGGGTTTTCATGAGCTGTAAGCCATAATCATCACAATTATGACAAATCACGGCTTGAATTATCTTGCTTTGCATGTAATGAGTCTATCTCATATATTAGTTTCACCTTTTAAGTTGCATTCGTGAAAGAAATGAACTTTGCACGATATTCTAATTATTCGAGTTTCACCTGTACATTGGAGATATTCCTCTCACATCTTGGGTCTCTGGGACAGGAAGTGAAGGCAAATCTCCCTAGTGGGACACAGACAAAAGAAAGACACAACTGATGGGGGTTTTACCCATTTTCTATTCTGTCCAAAACAATAAAAAAGTTTTGGCTTTAGATTAAATGTTATGGTTTACTAGCAGACAGGGTCGGGTTTCACACAAGGCCAACCAAGGCCCAGCCTCAGGGCGGCAGGGAGTAGAGGGGAAGCAAGGATTTCTATCACCCGACTGTCCCGACACCTGGGATATGCAGTTCCGAGCTCCGGGGCGGGTAGCTGCTTTCTACAAGCAGAGCTAAAAATGTACAGCGCAGCCTGCTCGCGTTCGTCCTCCCCCCGTCCGTTCTCTGCTCTGCTCCATGTAAACACTGAGAGGTGAGAGCTGCACTCACAGCCTTCCCCTCTCAGCAGTCACAGGAGTTCCAGCTCAGTGCTGTGCTAGAACTCCTGTATTGGAGGTGACAAGTTCAATAAAGAGAACCTGTCCCCTCCAAATGCTATCACGCAGTGGCTAAATTATAAAATAAATAAAACATTTAAAAAGTGAAAAATAATAGTTAAAATAAAAAATAAAAAGGTGATAAAGTTTAAAAAATAATAAGATAAATAAATTATAAAAAATGAAAAAAGTAAAAAATAATAAGAGAAAAAAATTATAAATACTAATTATAAAAAGATAATAAGATAAAATAAAACTTTAAAAAATGATAAAAAAGTACAAAAAAACAACAATTTAAACTAACCCTGCCCCCCCCTGCCATCTGGTTGCCATTCTCCATTGGGGAAGGGAGGGTGGGGAGGGGGTCGCATAGAGGTCCCTGGCTTTGGAGCAGCAGATAGAGTAAATCTGGCCCTGCTAGCAGATACAGAAATGTAATGTTTAAGAAATATTCAGTTCTAGAGTTAATACTAACCTTCTGATTATTGTCTCTTTTCTAAGACTAACTGCGGAGGGAGAGTAAGTATGGTTGATTACCACCGTCACTGAGGTTGTGTCACCCATCATCACAGTTCTGGTCCATTCATCCCACCACACCCCCTGGCATTGCGATACCACCTTCCATATGTCTGTCCTTGTATGATATCATATCTCCAATGCTGGCTGTGTTTTCTTATGGATGCTTCCATTTTGTTTGACATGATAACATTTTCAGTAATGTTTGAAATTCTGAATGAGGCGTTAGTATTACTGATCATTGAGGCTTAGGGGTACGGACATCACGGTGTAGACCTCTTGACTGACCTATGGCAGCCATGTTGATTGGAGTTGGGTAAAAGGAAGAAAGTTGGCTGAGATAGAGTGTGTGTGGTTTGCTCATAAAGAGGTATTTTTCTTTATAAAAGGGGGCATGGCTTGTCACATAGGTATATAGGGCAGCGGTTCTCATCTAGGCCTCCTTCAGATGCTGCTAGGGCTTCTTAGAGCCATGGCAGACTGTTCTTCTACTTGATAGAGCCTGCTTAGTTCTGGCTTGGCAGATCCAGAAGAGCCTCTCCTCTCATATTTAGTTGTCTGTAAGGGGGAATTTTTAGCACTCACCGCGAATGTGAGGGGGCAATAAACTGACACCCAATGTAACAGGGCTCTTAACCAATGACCACCAATGTAGGTGGGCATTAAAGAGATAACCAAAGTAAGGGGGCCCTTTCCCAATCACCAATGAAGGTGGACACTAAACAGACAACCAAAGTAAGGGGGCCCTTTCTCAATGAACACCAATGTAAGGGGGCATTAAAATGAAACACAATTGAAAGGGGATCCTTCCCCCATGACCTCCACCAGACTGACATTCAAAGTAAGGGGGCCCTTCCCCAATTGCCACCAATGTAAAGAGGCACTAAACAGACACCCAATGTAAGGGGGCCCTTCACTAAAGACCACCAATCATAAGGTGGCAATAAACTGAAACACAGAGTAAGCAGTCCAGAGACAATAGGCCCAATAGATCTAGAATAGCAGTCCATAGAAAAATCTCTATATAAGCTCCATATTGGTCAATGTTGAAGCTTACACAGGTTTATTTTGGGCCTGTTAATTGGCCATTTTTTCTGACCGCACCAGACCAGAACGCAAGCACTGATGTGCCACGTGTTCCAGTGCGGGCAATCGCACTGCGGATTGACTTCAATACACCTCCATGCCCCCTCCCACCCCAAAACAATGTGAGCTGGCCGGAATGCGATTCAGTTCGTTCTGGCACCAATCGGCCGGAACGCACTGGGGCTGGCGTGGACTAGCCCTAAAAGATGGAAGGAATGATGGGGGATCATGAGAAAGGTAAGTTTTAGTAGATTGGGTAAGGCATGCCTTATAAATAGAACCTGTCACTCTGGAAGCTTTGCCCAAAAGAATGTCAGACAGAGGGCAAAGAGCTAGTGTCACCAGAGACAGAGGGCAAAGAGCTAGTGTCACCAGAGACAGAGGGCAAAGAGCTAGTGTCACCAGAGACAGAGGGCAAAGAGCTAGTGTCACCAGAGACAGAGGGAAAGAGCTAATGTCACCAGAGACAGAGGGCAAAGAGCTAGTGTCACCAGAGACAGAGGGCAAAGAGCTAGTGTCACCAGAGACAGAGGGCAAAGAGCTAGTGTCAACAGAGACAGAGGGCAAAGAGCTAGTGTCACCAGAGACAGAGGGCAAAGAGCTAGTGTCACCAGAGACAGAGGGAAAGAGCTAGTGTCACCAGAGACAGACAGCAAAGAGCTAGTGTCACCAGAGACAGAGGGAAAGAGCTAGTGTCACCAGAGGGCAAAGAGCTAGTGTCACCAGAGACAGAAGGCAAAGAGCTAGTGTCACCAGAGACATAGGGCAAAGAGCTAGTGTCACCAGAGATATAGGGGGCAAAGAGCTAGTGTCACCAGAGACAGAGGGCAAAGAGCTAATGTCACCAGAGACAGAGGGCAAAGAGCTAATGTCACCAGAGAGAGAGGGAAAAGAGCTAGTGCCTGTGGTCTCCCTGCAGCTGATCTTTTCCCATTACTGACCTAACATGCCTTGGCGGGGCTTCACTTCCTCATGTCAGAACCTCCAGCAAGGAGAACAATGAGCAGAACAGTAGACTAGCAGTCAGAGGCAGCAGTGCCTTAGATTTCACATTGCAGATATATAGTTGAAGATGAAGGTGTATGAACAGGAGTACCTCAGCACCCTCACATACCAAGAAGTGTGCTGCTATTTTTTTTTTTATTATTAATTCCAGTCAAAAGGTTTTTTCCAGGTGCTGTCTAGACACAATGAACATTTCTAGATGTTGCCTATAACATTAGCAAATCTTCATTTTTTGAGTTCGGTTCCACTTTAAATCCCATGGCCATTTTTTTTATTTATTCAGACATCATCCAATACATGAATTACTGTAAGTCGCATATGTTGTAACCTATCGTGCATGCGTTCATGCAACTCCATGTTTTCCTTTCTGCAGACGTACACTGGATCTATATTAGTAGCAGTGAACCCGTACCAGCTTCTGGCCATTTATACCGCAGATCAGATCCGCCTGTATACCAACAAGAAGATTGGAGAAATGCCGCCACACATCTTTGCCATAGCGGACAACTGTTACTTCAACATGCAGCGCAATAACAAGGACCAGTGCTGCATCATCAGGTGAGCCATGTCCCCATCTCATCCCATCTGCTTCTGGCCTGGCCTGTGATGTTCACAGAGGCAGGGCATCTCCAACCTTCATACTGGGCTTTGTAGTATCTATGGGAGTCACGGTTGGTTTTGTAGTGAGTTACACCCACCTAAAGAGATTTTTCAGTGTTGGATTATTGCTTGCAGCAGTGGTGTCACAAGGGAGTGGGGTTCGGGGGGTATGGCCCGCACACAGTGACACCATCAGAGGTGGTGTTACCAAAAGGACTGACAGTCATTTTGTTGTCACCCCCTCTTAAAAGTTGGGCACTCGATCATGGATCGAGAGCCCAACAGTGACACGAGAGAGAGGGAGTAACCTGGCGGCAGTAAAGTACATCACCGCGCATGCTTAATGACGTCACACCACTGGCATTGTAATGAATGTGTGGCAGCTGCACAGGGTGACACCCACACTGGTTCCACCACTGGCTTGCAGATTAAACCACCTACTGCTTTCTAAAGATGGCCACACATGCAGGGCCATTCCTACACTGTATGTTGCCCGAGGCCGTAGTGCTGGGGGGGTGAAGTGGAGGTTGGGGGCGTGCTGCTGATAGTGTTTTGGGAGGAGGAGGTTTGCTAATAGCGGTTGTCCAGCCGGCTGAGCGTCACAAGTTGCTAAGCGCTCTTCGCAACATGGGGTGTTGTGGCTGCCCTTTTGCTGCCCCCCAACCACACCTGCCGCCGCCCAGTGAGATGGCACCTATAGGGACGGCCCTGCACACATGTATCAATATGGTCATACAATCAATAATTCAACGCAATTAAAATTATTGAATTCCAAAATCATAGATCCACCATGGAATCGATTTAGTGAGCGCTTGATGCGTGTTGGAAATGCATGCCAAACACAAGTCCGCTGATTCTCATTGACTTCAATGAACAAGTGTAGACGAAAGCCCAGAGGCTGCATTTGGCCTGCTTTGCGCAGCCTTTATTTGTACGCACCATGTTCTATTGACGTGGAGTTTAATTGCAAGCAAATTAGGACAGGCGCTGCAATTTATATTCAGATGCATGCCTTTAAGCAGTGCTGAGTTCAAATGGAAAAGGCTGAGTTAGACAAGAATGCTCAACTACATGACCCCAGCTCTTGTACTCCAGCTGCCGATCAGTGTTCTGACAGGTTGGTATAACTCCAAAGGTGCAGTTACATGTTAAAGAAGTCCAAGAATTTAAAAACTTACCCTTTCAATGGAGCTACCCTGGCACTGCAAAGGTTCAGTGCTCATTTTGTGTCGGAGGCTCAAATAAAGCAGATATACTCCTTGGTCCCCCCGGGCTGCTAGACTGGTCCAAGCAGACTCTTCTCCCTCAAGCTCTAGTGGTCTAAGGACCACTGACGTGATCACATGTAATGCAGGTCCATTGGCTTGCATTAGACCAGAGAACACGGGGGAATATTTCATAGTCAGAGTAGAGGGGGGGAGAGGTGACTGATGACCACCGTGAGACCGCTGACCAGGTGAGTAAATCTGCTTTATTTTAGCCCCCTAGAAAAAAACGTGCACTTCTTCCCTTGCAGTGTGCAGGTAGCCCCTTTAAATCCCTGGAGTTCTTCTTTTAATGCTCCAACCTGCTGCCAATTTTAGAAGCTTCATAAATGTCTTCACAATTAACAATGTGCTGAAATATTTTCTATTTAGAAGGCAATCTTCCACTGGTCTTAGTAAGCAGATAACATATGAAATCTCTTTCCACCATGTTGCTGAATAAACTCCCAATGTCTCATTGTCTTATGGTGTGTTGCAGCGGAGAGTCGGGCGCTGGGAAGACGGAAAGCACCAAGTTAATTCTGCAGTTCCTGGCGGCCATCAGTGGGCAGCACTCGTGGATAGAGCAGCAGGTGTTGGAAGCAAACCCAATTCTAGAAGGTCAGCCTGTGGTTCTCATATCTTGTCCTGTAGCTAGGGTTGCCACCTTTTCTTCCAGCGAAACCCGAACACTCTAGCGACGCACGGAAATTTTTTGGGGAGAATGAGTCATGGCTTATTCGTATGTAAATAACGTCACCTATTCATGTGTAAATATCACAGTTGAGACTATTTTTACTGGGGGGCCGATAGCCCCTATCTTACTTTTGGTTGCCCCTGTCTGTCTGACATCTTGTGTCCAGGTCTCAGCTGCCATGAAACCTGGACACAGCATTCAAAACCCTGACTGTTCGGGTGAATCCTGGACAGGTGGCAACCCTACCTGTAGCTCTTTAATACTTTGTACTCATGCTGTTCCTTTTTCGAACTTGTGCTTTATGCTTTCAGCTTTTGGCAATGCCAAGACCATCCGAAATGACAACTCCAGCCGGTTTGGAAAGTACATCGATATTCATTTCAACAAGAAAGGAGCCATAGAAGGGGCCAAGATTGAGCAGTATCTCTTGGAAAAGTCACGGGTTTGTCGACAGGTAGATGACAAAATGTACCCTTTATACCTGTTGGGGAGCAGTGGTTAGTTGTACTTCCTTTCTTGCATCTTCTCTGTTGTAATTCTACTAGAAGAGATGGACGAGAGGTGATGGAGAGAAGTACTCATTCCCATGTGCACAGAACCTTACTTTATAAGTAGTGATGAGCCTGGGCTTGGTTCACCCAAGCCAGCTCAAAAGCTTGTCTGCCACCCTCTCCTCCCGGGCAAGTCAGTTTCAGAGAGGTGCATTCCTTGCCCTGCAGCTATACGTTACAAAAGGGTGGCGAATGCCCCTGTCACAACTGATTGGACCAGGAGGAGGTGGCAGCAGACAGTTTTGAGCGGCAAACTGGGTTCACACCGAGCCCGGGCTCATCTCTATTTATATGTAGTATCAATAACAGGTACGGCAATACTAGCAAAAGTGCTGGGGGTAAATCCGCTTTTGGTCTTGCAAGGATAGGCTGGGCCGGGCACAGCATCTCCTGCACATGTGCTATTGAATATGTAACCTGTATGTACATTCCTGGCAAAGGGGACAAAAGGACATAAGCGTCCCCAATCACTCTTATAGCAGATCTAGCTATAATACTAAGTGCAAATGTGTAAGTGTAACACTTCCAGGTAGTTATATCCTCTCACAGAGATGACATTACTTATCCTTAAAATGCCTTCACTTGCTTTCCACAAGGACACAGCCATCTTTGTTCAGGCATCATCCAGGGTCAGTATCTACTTGCTGGACTGAGATGTTGGCTCTGAGATGACACAAGCATGTAAAATCTGGTGCCTGTGCATTTCATGGACGTGTTCACAAATGTCTGGCAATATCCAAAAACGTCAGTATAATTGAGGGGTAAAATATTTTCTTTATGCAATGAGCAGAGCTGTCCTTACCTTATTCACCACCTGTGGTGGCCCAAAGAAGGGGGGAGCGATGGGTTAATGCGGTCCGGGCAGGAGGTGTCGGGTGGCTGAGCTGTCAGCGGGGTGGGAGGTGGTACGAGGCCAAGTTGTTACACTTGGGGGGATGGGTGCTGTAACTTGCTGGTTCTGCCACCCACCCAATGCCCAATGAGATGCCTCTAGCTGCCTTATATGAGGACACTCCAGGCAATGAGGACTGGAGGTGAGAAGGTAACAGGTCCAGATAGACAGAATCTTTGCTGGATGTTATGTTGAAATCCCTGATTCACAGCTCACAGCTCAGAACTTGTTAAATTACCATCACCCAATACCAGTACCACTGCATTCTCGCCAGAATCTCCTTTCACCATCATAATGAACACTCCAGATATTAATTGTACATATTCAGATCTTTGGGCTCAGTGGAACATGTCAGCGCGGGTGTAACGACATGA